AGCCGAGAAGCAGCAGAACGAACGCTAGAGAGCCCAGATAGAGTAAAGGCTAGCTGGGGGCTGGGAGGCCTGCCAGCCTCCCAGCCCCCCAGCCAGCACCCCTGCCTGCCATATGCCTGGTGAACCCCAAATAAAAAACCTGCAAAACTACTGAGGACTCTGGCTCCTCCTTTACCCAGTCTGCATGGGATCAGAAAACCTGCACTGTGTCCATTCCTGCCCTTACAGATGTCTATAAAGATTTTAATGTGAAGTTCTCCTGTGACCATGGTGTTGAGCATCTTTTCATGTACTTATTTAGCATTTGTATATCTTCTTTTAGGAAGTGTTCATTTAAATATTTCACTCATTTTAAAAATCAAGTTCTTTGATGTATTATAGAATTTGAGAGTTCTTTATGTATTCTGGATACTAGTAACTTCTGACCTGTATGTTTTGCAAGTAATTTTTTGGAGATGTAATTCTTAAGGCAAAGGCAAGTAACTGTGTTAGGGGAGATAAAAGGATCCAAATCTGGGTAGTTAAAGTAGTTAAAGTCACTACTTTTAAAAGATAATAAATAAACCTCCAGTGTGCTTCAGGATGTGAAAAGTATATTAAGGCATGTGGCATAAAAAGGATTATTCCTTTGATATCTCTCTATATGTAATGGATTAAAAACTTTTGCACAGAAGGGTTTGTTTGTGCTCCCAAACCATAATGAAAGAACAAGTTATTAAATAAAAAGCATGTTAAAAGTAACAGGCAATACTTTCTAAACAGACTTGTTACAGACCTGCCAAATGAGCAACATCCACCACCCACAGCAGTATCAGAGCTTTCAAATGAGAATATACATAATGTACTTCACATGCCACTTTTAGCTGTTAGGTAAAGAGGTTAACACTTGAGTAAATGGTAAAAAAAAAAAAAAAAAGACATGCTGTCAGAGCAAAGACCAAGAACCTGCTGAAGACAGCTCCAGACCAGAAGATAACTCCTAATCTAGAATTGTTTATTCTGTTTGACATTAATAAGTGGGCAAAATGAAAATGAGAGAAATCATCAGACATCTTCAAGTAAATAAGTGGCATGATAAAAAGTTGAGCTACAGACCTGTTCCCAGTGTGAAGCATTACTAGTGTTAGTGAAACCAATTAAGAGATTGTTGCCTAATTCTAGTTAAAAGAGAGAGACTGATTTGAACCAAGAGAGGCAAGATTTCAAAGTTGCCTTGGAGGTATGACTGACAGACTTAATGATCAAATAAATGTAGATACTGAAGAAGAGTCTGAAGATGACTTCCAGCTGAGTGGCCTAATGATTGTGCTCGTAATTATGACAAGACAATCAATAGGAAAAAATGGGTTTTGAAGAGAATAGTTGCATTGAATTTTTTTGGTAATTGGGTTTGAAAGGCAGAACCCCACATATGGGTGAGGCTAGTGAGTAGTTAGAAATGTAGCTCTGGGGTTCAGAGGCGGTATCTGGGGTACAGGTAGAGAATTAGACATCATCAGAGTCTAGTTTATCTTAAAATGAAAGAAGATATTTCAGTATGCCCATGTAGAGTAAAAAGAGCAAGGAATGAAGTCTGAATTCTAAAAAAAAATATTAGCAGTTAAGGGGCAAGTACTACTTGGTGACAGGAAGGAGCTAGTGCTTAGAGAGATTAGATAATTTACAGTCATGAATCTCCATGATCAGAAGAGTATTAAGGAATGGTGGGTGGTAATTAGTGTCCATTGCTACAAATAAGTCTTTGCTAAAATAAGCTATGGAATTTGATAACTAAAAAGTCATTCCTTAAAACTAAAGAAACAACCCAAATATCCATCTGCAAGAGAATAGGTAATTCATTTGTATATTTTCATACAGTGGAATACTACATAGTTATTAAAATGAATGATTGTTCTGTACACAATAGCATGGATCTACCTCAAAAATATGTGTTAAGCAAAAAAAAAAAAAAAACACACAAGAAATACATGCTGTATAACTCCATTTATATGATGACAATGACTTTCCAGACCAATCTATAGATAATAGATATCAAAAGGAGAATGTCCCTAGAGGTGGTGTTGGGATGGGATGTGGTTGTGGGAAGAATTGAAAGTAAAGGAGCACAAGACAATTTTCTGATGTGAAGACATGTTCTTATCTTGTTTGAGGGAATTTGCAATTGCCAGTGAACTGAAGATAATTTAAAAATTTGCTCATTTCAAAATTCCAGTTATTTTTCAGAGAGACATTCCTATCCAAAATCAAATGCTTGATTTTAAAGGTAGAAAACAGAAATGTGTAGCAGAGGACTTAGAGTCCAAGAAATAAAATATAAGTGGTTAATGAAGAAAGTCATAAAATAATTCATGTCGTACTGCAGAAATCCTAAAAGCTCAAAAATAGGAGCTAAAAATGTAGTAGATGGGTGTAAAAGGAAGGTTGTTTATAATTCTGTTTTAGGGTAGATCCCTCTATTTATTCCCTCACTCTGTATCCCACCATCAGCTAGGTGGGATAAACCAGAAGTTTATTCTCTGAAGAGCCTAGAATAGAAATTCCCTAGACTGAAGAACAGTAGACATAGTTGAAGGTGGGGTACTCTATTAAAAATGGGGACTTCTGTAACATTCTACCTACATTTTGAATGTTGAGATTCCAGAACTCTTAATAACACAGCTCCAAAACATTGGAAAACTTGCTCAAGAAGAATCTGAGAATCTGAGTTCCAGGAAATCTGATCAGCCTATGTTTTTTTGTTTTAAAAAAAAAAAAAAAAAAGGAAAGAAAAACAAGGGTAGTAAAGCCCAAGCTAAACAGGTCAGAAGGTTCTAAGAGAGAAATTTCCAAGAAAATTAAATTAATAAACTAATGTTTTAAGAGATTTTAGAGAAACAGATAATTGGGGAAGTGTTTGAATTTGAGTTTAGGGATGAATACATGGAAAAGTGGGGAAAAAGTGAACAAGATGTTTAGTAATTTCTGGGAAAATGAAAAGTTGAGAGTGAAAGGGTGTGACATCCATGTGAATAGCATTTACATGGGCATCATAAAACCTGTGGCACAAGGGATTAAGTTGTAGTACTATGAAGCTATCCACAGCCACTGCAGCACTGCAATAGTTCCATCCCTGGGCTGGCCAGGGAGCTAACCCCCAAGGCGCAGCAGACCTCTCCTGACTCACCTGTTGCTCCCCTCAGCAGTGTATTTCAGTGGATCTGTCTGTTCTGTTCCCCAATCTGTCCATGGTGAATCCTCTTACCCACCCCCCACCTCTGGCCTGTACTCCAGCTCCTGTATATATAAATAAATCTTAAAAAAAAAAATCGACCTGATTTATCAAAAAGTTATAAAATGATAATTTATAAGAGGCAAAGGGTATGAATAAGTGTGGGAATATATATTTTAAAGTAATGGATCTTCATCTTTCAGAGAACAAAGTCAACAGTTAATGACTTAAACTAAAAAAAAAAAAAAAAAAAAAAAAACCAAGAAATAATAGCATAAACATACTGTTAGAGGTATACATCAAAAGAAACAGTTAAAAGAGTTGCCTCCAAACAATGATAATTAGAAAAGGACATAGGGACAAAGTTTGATTCTGTAAATCATGTATATTCAATGAGTATGATTTTTTAAAGAAAATTAATGAAATAATATGGTTATGGTTATTTTCAAAGAGAACCTCATGAAATCAGATTGCAATGGGTTGAAGAGTAAATGGAAATTGAGGATGCTCTCAGCAAGCTAAGTAGTGTAAAGATGAGGATTTTTGGAGTAGTTGGAGTAATGATTTGATGGAAAGGTAGGATTGAAGGAAAATTGATTAATTGCTTGATTATAGTTATTTGAATTACTAAGCAATTGGTATGTCTATTTGTTCAAGACAGAAATGAGCTTGAGGAAAAGAAATAGTTGAGAAAATTAACTGTTGGTAGAGGAAATAAATGAGGTATCAAAGTTCCAGATGAAGTGGTAGATGTTGAAATAAAAAAAAAAGGTTAAAGGATTAGTTTTGAAAAAGAATGTGACTATCTTTTTTTTTTTTGGATGATGATGAAAAGTATTGTTAATAGAATTTATGTGAATAGCTTATATTTTCTCACTGGCAGTGGTGACCAAGTCATCTGTTAACGTACCAGGAAGTTTTTGATGGTCTGAATTGGAAGCCACCCAGAATTCAAATGTAATGTTGTATAGCAATATGGGAAAGCCAGCTGAGGATGAAAATCAAAGTGTATTAGTCCAAAATACCAACTGGGTGTCTTATACAATAGGAGTTTATTTTCTGACAGTCTGGGAAGATAAAAAGTCCAAGATCAAGGTACCAATAGGATTTGGTTCCTAGCTAGGACTCTCTCCCTGGCTTACAGACCTTCTCCTCTCTGTATCCTCACCTGAGAGACTGAGAGGAAACCAGACCTCTGATGTCTCTTCTTAAGACACCAATCCTGTTGTGTCAAGGCTTCACCCAATGACCTCAATTAAACTTAATTACTTTATTCCAGCTGCCCATTGGGATTTAGGGCAGCTTCAACATATGGTTTTTGAGAAGGAAACCATTTAATCCATAGCATGTCTAATTCAACACTGTAATATGGGTATTTTTTAATCCATTTACACCCAACAGCCTAAGAGCAAAAAATAAAGACAGACCCCTAAGTGATACAAATTTGGAGAATTAGTACAATAGAAGATCAAGGTGGCAAATGAATTAAGGGACAGGTGAAAGTATGACTAAAATGATTGACCGTGAGTTTTCAGAACAGTTGGAAGACAGGAATGCACTAGTTTCAATTAGGGACTGGTAGGCATCATGACAGAGTCCTCTTGGGTCTGGAGGCTGGAGAACAAATGGAAACTCTTCATAGTGTAACTTCTGTGGACATGGTACTTTCCTGGAACATAAGCAGATGTTTCTGCACTTTCAAATTCACTGGCAGCAAAGGAGAATTATAAAACTGGAACTAAAAGTTAGGTTCATTAGTGGTAGCAATCATCACATTTTTCTTTCTTTCTAGACGACTAAATACATTGAACAAGTGTGCCTCAATGAAACTTGATGTGAACTTCCAAAGGAAAAAGGTATGTGTCTGCACCTGAGAGCACGGTTATACCAATGAAAGAAGCTGCATTTATAGATGGCCAGTTCATTTTGCTCCAGTTTTTATCAGTGTTGCTTTAATATATAAAATGTCATAATTCATGATAGTCTTTCAGATATTTCTTTAATTGTATACATCTTTTCTATGTTAAACTCAAGTAGTCTACAGTAATTTAGTAGATTAGGAGAATGTAGAAAAGAATATATGGGCTCACACCAATTGTCTCCTGCTTTATTCTTTCCAGTAGCATTTTAGTTCAAGTACATTTCAAGATGCAATCATTCTCAGGCAGATTCATTCCATAATGTTTGAGGGGTATAACAACATGATACTGAATCTGCCTCATCTTTCACTATCCTCACCTCCTTGCACTTTTCTCTACCAGTACTTCCATTCGTTTTTTGTTGTTGTTGTTTGTATTTTTAATTGAAGTAACATCGTGTTATAAAATTATGTAAGTTTCAGGTGTGCTTCATTTTAAATCAACATCTGCATATGCTACATTAAATTCACTAATAAGAGTTCAGTTATATCCTTCCCCATACAATTGACCCATTTTCCCCTGATTAACCCACCCTTTTCCCCCTTCCTTCTGGTAATCACTAAGTTCTTAGAGTAAAAAAAGTTATTTTCATTTTAGTTAGTTCATTTGCTTATTTTGTTTATGTACCACAAATGAGTAAAATCATATGGCATTTTGTCTTTCCCCATATGACTTCTTTCAATTAGCATAATATCCTCTAGTTTCCATCCATGTTGTTGCAAATGACAGGATTTCATCTTTTTTATTGCTGAGTAACATTCCACTGTATATGTGCCACATCTTCCTTATCTGATCACCTTTCCATTGACACTGAGGTTATTTCCAACTTTTGACTATTGTGAATAATGCTACTGTGAGCATGAGGGTGCATATATATCTTCAAAATTGTGTTTTTATATTCTTAGGATAAATACCCAGAAGTGAGATAACTGAATCATCAGAATTTCTATATTTGATTTTTTGAGAAATCTCCAGATTGCTTTCTTTCACTTTTCAGAGTCATTATGCTCCTCCCTCCCTCTTTTGGAACATGCGCAGATTTCTGTATGAATAATATGGTGATTTCAGTTTTGACATAAAGCTATTTCAGTTTGAAAAAAAGTAGTTTCTTGAGCACTTACTATTTTCCAGGAACTATGTGATTATTTACCATAAGCATTCTCATTTGCTCCATTGAAGTGGAGGTTCTCTGTTTTCTAGATAAGGAAAGTAAAACATAGACAACTTAAGTCATATAACAGTGATCTTTCAGCTGTGCAGAATAAGGTTTCAAGCTCAGATTCATATAATTCCGAAATCAAGGCTCCTAACCACTGTGCTGAAAGGCCTTTTTCTCATTGAATGAGTCCTTTGTAGATAAAGCTCTAGATAAGAAAAGTAAAACATGAACAGTTTAAGTCATATGCCGGTGATCTTTCAGTTAGTGTAGAATAAAGTTTCAACTTCAAATCCATCTAATTCCAAAATCAAGGCTCCTAGCCACTGTACTGAAAGGCTTCTTTCTCATTGAATCGATCCTTTTAGGAAACTCAGAATTAAGATCACTAACTACATTTTTCATTTCACATATTCAATATGTAACAAATCGATTCAGTATATTTTGAAGAGGCAGAGGAAACATCTTTGAGTCGAAAGAAAGTTTTCTTTATTCTGGTCTACACAGAGAAGTGATTAAATCCAGTGGATTTCAAGTCACTCATGAGTAACCTAATCTTTAAAAATAACTTTAACCTTACCTTAAAAACAGTTTGGGGTTTGAACTAGGAACCAAAGTTTTAAGTTAAGGAGGTAAAAGGGTGAGAAACAATATCCAAAAAAATATTAAGACATGAGCAATTTTGTCCAGGCCAAAGACAGATTAAAAATGTGGGAATAAATGGCCAAACAACTGTCTGACTGAATGAACCCCTTGAGAAGCACACATACTATTTGAAGCATAAGGGTCAGATGTTGTTTTGATTATAACACATGGTTCTTATTAAACTGAACACAGGCACCCCTGTGTGTCTAAAGCACGGCTGGCCTACAAGGCTGCCTATACAGATCTTTAGCTGCAGAGTATTACAAAAGAAAATGCCAAGCACTAGTGGCTTGGTTTGTTTTCAACCAAGCAGAGTGATTGGATTCTTACTCTATCACCAGCTTTTCAAAACCTGTATGTGAGATAGACTTGAATAACATTTATTAGACTACATGTGTGTTATCTGCACAAAAGGTCCTCTAAATTGGTCGCTTCAGGATTCTGACATTCTTATTTATTCCTCATGCTGGATGGAGTGGCACACACTCTTACAGCCCTACTTAACTATAAGCCTTACAAATACCCCCATTGAGTAGAATACTGCTTTTCACGTTGTGTGCTGGGGAGTCAAATAAATAATTTTATTTGAATTTTCAAATAAATAATTCCAACTTGTGGTCACCACCCACTGTGAAACCCAGTAACGCAGTGACGACCAGTCTCTGAGATTGTGTTCTAAGTGTTACAGGCCCTGACCCAAAAGAACAGTCCTTTGCCCTCTAGGGAAAGCACCAAAGAGCACTAGGTGTAGTTTAGCCAAACAAAACTTTTTTAAAGATTCATGGATGAGGGAGCCAGTGCAGGAAAGTAGAATATAGTCTGGCTCTTGAAGTGAGTTAAGAGGAGATATTTAAAGGGTAGATCCTTGTAGTGGGGAGGAAGAGAGCAGTGTCAGAGAGTGTTCTACACCCAGGGACATGCATAGACAGGCTACACTCCTACTGAGCATGTGGCACTCAGCCTTCCCCTTCTAATCGTTAGTCAGGATCTAACCCTTTCTGTCTACAATGATGTCTCATGGTCAGTGTGACAGGCCAAAATGGACAGGGATTTTTCAGATCATGATTTAATCCACACGTTCAAACAGGACTTGGACAACTCATCCTACTTGCTCACAATTTCTTCTACCTAAGTTGTCTCATCAACACTATGCAGGAGCTTCTGTGTGGTAACACAGTGCTGTGATCAGCCCCTTATATAAGTTACAGGTTATTCTTTTATTTTACTTTTTAAAAAAATTAAATAAACACAGGCTAGGAATAGGCCAAATGGTCAAAAATAGAAAGTGAAACTCGAGAACACAATAAGAAACTGCAACCAAGCTTGCAATTTGTTTATTTGGAAGAAAAATAACTCAACCACATTTCCTTTAGGCATGTCCCCATTTAAAGCAGTCCACAAAATCAAAAATATTCACCTCTAATCTGCAGAGGCTCTGATCTACTTAACTCTGTAGAATGTGAACCACCAATGTGTCCAGGTCAAGGCTGTTTTTCTTCTACTCGGACTACTGAGCCTATGAAAGTGCTGTGCGAGCTTGCTTAGTAGTTTGTGTGGTTAGCAAACACTCACTGAGCTTACTCTATGCCAGGCACTGTTATTCATCATTAACTCCACATCATAAATGCAGAAACTGAAGGGCACATAAACCCAAAGCCACAAAGAAACAGCAGAAGTAGGATTTGAACCCAGACAGCCTGGTACCAAACTACTCCTCATTGCCTTTCAAATATATTCAGACATGCATTGCGCCTGAGTGAGCCACCGGCCCTTCACGAGATCTGGAAGGGTATCTTCAGCACTACATGTGATATAGTTTTATTATTTTTAAAGAGGGATGTTTCCTGTCATCATTCCCAATTTATTTAATGTCTTCTTGAAAATGTATCTCTGGATCTCTCACAGTGAATGAGTCATGAATCTCATTGTTCTGCTTTGCTTTTTGTTCTCATTTGATCTTGTTTAACTCTGAATAGTTTGGTGGGTTGACCCAAAAAAGAAAGATATCCCCAAAAAAGGTGAAAATGGAAGCCTCATTCCCACTCAGTGAGGTGTGTGCTTTTCCTGTACATCAGACCGCATGTGTAAAGCACCAGGGGAAATGTTTTCCCACAGTATGGTACCTTACCATTTTGCAGAAGAGAAAAGTAGCGCTTCAAAGATTCACGTTTACCTTCCATATCTCTGTGAGAGTCAGGTGGATGGTGTTTTCAATCTTGGCCCACACCTCACAGAAAGACTTACTAAATGCCTGGCCCTAAGGCATATCCAGAGAGCCTGAGGACATCAGCAGCCCCTTAACTCTCCAGTTCTACCATTCCTAGTTCCTGTTCTGACTGCCTACCAGCCGCCCCCCCTCCCCCCCCCTGCAGGCTTCAGGCTCCTCCCCCCTGCAGCATTGCTAGTGGCACATTCTTGCTTCTGAACCAGCAGGTTCAGCCCCAGCTCAGTTCACTTTAATGGAAGACACACTTCTAAATTTCTGTGTACCTATGGATTAGCGGCTCTTGCAGCTGTGGATTCATGTGGGTTTGGTTTCCAGTGTAAAGATATGACCAGATTCCTTTTTTTTTTTTTTTAAAGCCCTTCCTTCTGGAGTGCCTGGTTGGCATCTGTCTCTGAGAAATATATCATTTCCGCTAAGAATGTTCTCATTTTTTCAGAAAGCAAACAAACATTGGAGCTTCATCTAAATTTAAAACTCCAAGGCACATGGAAAGCTACTGGTCCTCAGAAAAGTATTTCTTCTTCATTATTGCCTGCAAAGTTCACACTTGCTTTATGACAACATTGAAATCCCTGAATTAAGGTTATTGTTTATGTGACATGACTTCTCTTCAAAATTAAGGTCAGAGGCTACAATGAGACTGTCATTAAATGAGGAAAGAGGACACCTAGGCACTCAGGACTCTTCCTACCCACAAAGCTTTCCCAAGAGAGAAAGAGCAGCTACAAGAGAAGATTCTGGTTAAAGTTATAGTTTTAATAAAGTTCTCTGAAATCACGACCAAAGGTGGAAGCCAACACAGAAACCATGACTAATTGCCACCTTGCAACCAGTACCACCTGGTGTGGATGCCATTGAAATTTCAAAGGAATTGCAGCTGTTGTCAAGGGGCCTGGTCTCCACCCCCTT